AAGGATTGGGGATGTGGCTCAGTGGTTAAGAGCCCCTGGGTTCAATCCTTGTCACCAAAGGAAAAAAGATAACATACTATATAGTTCAAAAGGCTAGAAGGAAGGATTTTGAAAATTTTTTGTCAAAGAAATGACAAATAAGGAGGTAGATATATTTAACTTGACATAAACATTACACATGTACATGTGTCAAAACGTTATATGATACCTATTAATATGTAYAATTTTTATGTTTTTATGTATCAATTAAAAATAAATTTAGGGCTGAGATGTAGCTCAGTGGCAAAGCATTTGCCTAGCATTCACAAAGCCCTGGGTTCAATCCCCAGTTCCCAAAAAGAAAAGAAAAAAAAGAAAAAATCCCACCCCCCAAGAAAAATAAATAATGTAAAAAAATAAATAAATTTAGCCGAGCATGGTGGCACACTGCATAATCCCAGCAGCTCAGGAGGCCAAGACAAAATAGGGCTGAGGTTGTGGCTCAATGGTTGAGTGCCCCTGAGCTCAATCTCTCATACCCCCTCCAAAAAATAAAATTAAATTAACAAATTTACTTTCTTCACTTAAAAAAAAAAAAGAAACAGTGTGCCAGGTGTGGTAGTACAGGCCCATAATTCCAGCTACTTTGGAGGCTGAGGCAGGAGGATCACAAGATCCAGTACAGCTTCAGTAACATAGTAAGACCCTGTCTCAAAATAAGTAAAAAGGACTGAGAATGTAACTCAATGCTAGAGCGCTTGCTTTATCAAGCACATGGCCCTGGACTCAGTCTCCAGTACTGGGGAATAAAAGAAAGCAACTCAATGAAAAAGTATTATCCTATTTTAATGATTAAAAATGTATCAAAGTGATGTTCAGTTATTAGAATCTATCACAATTTAGTGGGCTAAGCTTCAATTCAAACCCAGGTTTTTCTGATTGAAAATCTGATATTCAACACCCAAATATTGTCCCTAATAGGATCCAGAAATTTGAGGCAGAGTGGTAAGGACACATTGCAAGGGAAATAGAGAGTGTAACTTTTGTGGTATCAGATGCAGGAGAGGCAGCTGCCCAAAGAGACTTGAACTCTGGCTGGCCCTAGGGCAGAGGAGTTATCAAGCAACTCTGTGGAAGATGGTCAAGGCTACCTAGGAGGCTCTGGCACAGGATGCCCAAGTGATCTGATGCTAACTTGAAGACCACTACAAACCAATTCTGTGCCTATTTGTCTTTTTATGTTCTTCTTTAGCTTTCCTATGGTAATCTTGATTATGATTAGGTTTTTGGTTTTTTTTTTTTTTTTTTTTGGTCTTTTTTTTTCTCCTTTTGAGGTGCTAAAGATCAAGACCAGGGCTTTATATGTGCTATGTAGTGTTCCATCCCTAAGCACCACTCCCAGCCCAGTATTATTGATTGTGAACCACTAGAAAGCTGTAATCCTCATTCAATGTAGAAAAAAAAAAATGAGCTATACATTCCAAAAGACGGGGGAAACTGATATTATTTGAAATGGAAAATTAAATCTTTTATATCTCTTATATAATTCATTTAGCATACTTATTTTAATCAGTTTTATCAACAGCAGATTATAAATATGTAGGAAACTGTTGCTAAAAAGAACACTATCTTTCAAAACCATTTGTCATGTGTTCCATTAGAAATTAAATGCAAATAATTTTTGTATTTCTGAAAAAAAGTGAGGAAGTTAAAAATTCATACTAAAGTATTATGTTGCAGATTTTAAAAATCACCTTATTTTCTATGTGACTTTTAGCAAAGTTGTGATTGGATGTCTGTGCTTATAACAGTGGTGGCACACAGTACGTATAAGTTTTTCCTCAAACTGAAAAATGCAGTTGGACTAAGATTTTGGTCTGTGCTCCCTAAATGAATGGCAGATTTATTCATATTTTATTCCAAATTATGTTTTAATTTTCACTGATGAAATAACGTTTCAGTTTAGTGGATTCATCCGCACTACCTAAAGCAAACACATCCTGTACCGATCACTAAGTGAACATCCTGAGCATGTTTAAAAGAATTGTTGCAACAAAACCTTCATGGTGCATTTATACAAACAGCATGTTGAAAATAGGTATCTCAGTGTGTCCAGAAAAAAAGAATTGCCCCTCAACTTTTCAGAATTTTTTTTCCTAAGATTTCCATACAAAGGAAAATCTGTTAGGTTCATTGAATTGTTGACTCTTCATCAAGAGTTGAAAGTCTAATGCTTTTTCTTTGATCTCTAATTTGACTGTTTATCAAAGCTGATTACGGTTTGAATATACAAATCCCCTAGCTTGAAAATCATGAAAAATAATGGAGAGTAAAGAATTTTTAAGTAGTCTCTGTTGTTCTAATTTGGCTTTATGATTGCAATATAGCAATTAGGTTTGGTAAAAGGATCTGTTTTTATGTTTTGTTCCTTTGGTACGAATCAATCTTCTTCCACATTGGATCAAAGTGGTATTGTTTGAAAGCCAAACTTGCCATGTACTGAAGTAAGAGCTGTTTTGTATACATTCAAAAGGAATCATTGTGAATAAGTGAAACCTAGTTTATTCCAATTACCCTAATTTAAGGGCTTATGTTTTCTGGAAAGCTACAAGTTTGTGCTCTCTTTATCTGCATATAAAGTTGAAACATAATAAAATAGAAGTTGACTTAGTTAAACACAATTATGGATTATATCACTTAAACAATTTTAAAATCTTCAATTCTAAAATTTCATAGCACATTTATTGTCTCCACTAATTATTGGAGGTGCTATGCTAGATATTTTATGTATATTAACAGATCAATCTATTTGCCAAAGACCACACAGCTAATTTTAATGACAGAATAAGGAATAGGGTACGAATCTCTAGCATATCATTCTTTTATGTTTTTACGTTTCATAAATAATTTTCTTGAATCTTCTAAAATAGTCCAGAAAGTCTATCTTCCAGTCTCAGTCTTATTCTTTGTATTTTAAAAAGATTTTTTTTAAAAAAATGTCCTTCCTGATAGTGGTAAACATTGTGGTGCTTTTGTTATTTTCCCTTAAACAAACTTTATGTGGTTCTAGAATTGTTTTAGGTAGAAAATCATTTTTTTATGCTAGGTAGGCCAGAGCAGATTTTATAAGACTGGAACCATTTCCAAGTAAAATCATGGAACATTGATTCTGGGGTTTTTTTGTTTTGTTTTGTTTTGTTTTAAATCTGATTAATGACTGACTTGTAAATTTATATAAACAATCTAAAATACAAAATGGGAAAGGGAGGAGACAATGGAAATGGGAGAAGGGTAAGGAGGGAAGAAGAAAGGGAGGAAAGAGGGAGGGAGGGAGCAAAGAGATAGTGAGAGAGAGAAATCCCTGTTAAATTTTGACAATTCTGGCAAAGAGTGGCAGTATGACACTTAGTTATGACTTTGTAGATACTTCACAGACCTTCCAGAAAACACTGTCCTGAAGTTGTAAAACATTAACCAGCCAAAGCTGTACTATTGTGTTTTAAGTAGTGATAAAGATACTTTGACAATTGCTAAAGAGACCATGGGTTTTCTTTTGTGCACAGTTCCTGGTTTTTAATAATCCATTGGCCCTGGTCCACTTTGTCTTCTGATGTCTCCAAATGGCCCCAAGTGTGGCCCAGAAGGAAATGATTATAAAAAGACAACTTCTTCATTTACTAGTTCCAGGAATTTTTAAATTTGTTCTTTTGTTTTGTTTTGTTTATTTGTTTACTTTTTATTCTATAGCTCAGTGATTTTCAAACTGTGAGTCACCAACTAGGAAATTAATTGAACAGGTCAAGACTAATTTTTTTTATTCTAATAAAATAGACTGAAAATAGCAGTGTCTTTGGAATTTTTTTCCCCAAAATATAAGTGTGTGTATGTGAGAGAGAGGGGTCGGGGGATGGGGGTAGGTATGGAATAATACATAAAACAGTGTAATGCTAATTTTACACAATGGAATTTGTAGGTGATTTTAACAATTTGAAGTATTAATCTCCTTTCCAAATTTGATTTCTGAGTTTGTGTCAGGCTACCATTCTTTGTATTTAAACAAAATTAAAGCAAATAAATTGGTACACTATCACACTACCACAAAAGGGAGAGTTTTAGATAAAATAAGATTATGATTTTTCACTTGTGATCTGTTACAATTGGTACAATCTGAACACAATTGTAAAGAGTTCAGAATTCTCACCATAGCTCCATAGCTAAAGAAGGTTAGATGGTTTCTCTCCCCTCCTTTTTTTGGGGGGGCGGGGGGTCCTGGGCATTGAATCTGGGGGCACTTTCCTCCTGAGCCACATCCCCAGCCCTTTTATTTTTTATTTTGAGACATTGTCTCACTAAGTTACTTAGGGCATCACTAAGTTGCTAAGGCAATTTGTAATCCTCGAATTTGTAATCCTCCTGTCTCAGCCCCCCAATTGCTAGAATTACAAGCATGAGCCACCACACCCAGCTATGTAGTTTCTTAACTTCATGTTTGTACTTTTGCTTGAGAGAATTATTTTCAGCTAATTATTGACATGTAAACCCTGACACATTTGACGTAAACATAAAATTAGTGTTTTCATTTCTCAAGTTAGTATAAAAATAATACTAATAATATAAACAAATTATTTAGAACCTAAAAATGTTCTAAACTGTATAATCTTTTCAATCATATGACATTTAAGGATTTAAAATCCATACTCAACTTCTGGTTGGAGTACATAAGAATAAATATAAATAAAAGAAACTGGGCATAGTGGCATATACCTGTAATTCCAGGAGGCTGAGACATGAGGATCACAAATTCAAATCAAGCCCCAGCAGGGACTCAGCGAGGAAGTAAGCACCTCAGTGAGACTCTGTCTCCAAATAAAATAGGGCTGGGAATGTGGCTCAGTGGTTGAGTACCCCTGAGTTCAATTCCCAGTGTCAAAAAAACATTAAAATAAATTTCATTTTTAAAATATATTTTGCCTGAGATTATGTACTGTCTATTACATCCTTTCCTTTTCTTGCATTTTCAGCTAAAATTGACCAAGAAGCAGAGGAGACTTCACTGACAGAAACTCATAAATGGTGAGAAATTGATTTCCTTTAATATAATATTTCCTCTAAGAATAGACTTGTAAAGTTCTTAGTGTGTTTCATTCCAAGGAACCAATTATTAGTTTAATTTTTATTTTCATATGTTAAATAAAACTAATGGTGTATTTGAATTTCTCAATAAATTTCTGAATTTTATTTTTATGACCCTGGATGATGTAAAATTCTGCTGAATATCAGATTATTGGGATTAGCACCTTCTCTTTCAAATAGGATTTAGGACTAAGGTGATACAAGAAAATGCAAGGTAGTAGGAACCTACTTCAAGCATAAAAATTGAGGGGGGTAGGAATGATGGTGGTATGAATTGGACATTATTACCCTGTGTGCATATATGGTTAGACAACCTGTGTAACTCTACATCATGTACAACCAGAAGAATAAGAAGTTATTATACTCCATTTATGTACAATGTGTCAAAATGCATTCTATTGCCATGTATAACTAATTAGAACAAAAAAGATTCAATCAAAAATTAAAATTTTGAAAAAAAAAATAAAAGTTGAAGGGTTTTGTAATGAAAAACTATTCAATTTCTATAATCAAAAGTAACTTCTAGGGAGGAAGCTAAGAGATTCCCTGGGATGCATTTTCACTTCCAGAATGGAGATTTACAATCAAAGGCCAGCACAGAAAAGTATCTCAAGGGGCTGGGGTTGTGGCTCAGTSGTAGAGCACTCCCTTAGCATGTGCGAGGCCCTGGGTTTGATCCTCAGCACCACATAAAAATAAACAAACTAAAGGTGTTGAGTACAACTAAAAAATAAATATTTTTTWAAAAAGTATCTCAGGAATCTCTCTGCTTTGCTGCCTTATGATGTATTCTTCTTTTTATCTGTATTATGTATTAGTCAGGATTCCTCAGAAAAATAGAACCAATTAGAGAGATATGGGGGTTGGAGGGTGTCAAAGAGAGATTTATTTTCAGGAATTGGCTGGTATGAGTATAGAGGCTGGTAAGTGTAAAATTAGTCAGCAGGCTGGCAGGCTGGCAATTCCAGTAGGACTGATGTTGCAATCTTGAGTTTGAATGCAGTCTGGAGACAGAATTCCTTCCACTCAGGAACCTCGGTCTGAAGCCTTCAACTGACTGGATGAGACCCAGCCATGTTATAAAGAGAGATCTGCTTTTCTTAATTTCTACTGATTTAGATGTCAACCACATCTAAAAACTGCCTTCACAACAACTAGACTGGTGTTTGACCCAAAACTATGTATTATAACCTAACCAAGTTGACATAAAATTAACCATCATACCCTTTAAAGAGAATCTGATTATTCTTGAGGGAAAAAATTCATTGAAGAGGTTCTTTTTCATTACTTTATTAGGCAAGATCCTTATATTCTATGCACAGATATCACATATTTAGTAGTTCTCAAGTTGATAGAAAACATTATCTTAAGCAAATTGTTCATAATTGGTCATTTTCTATGGAAATCAAAAACTGAGCTCAAGACCTTAAATCATAACAGATTTCAGTTAGTTCCATGAAAAAAAAAATACTGGCTAATGATGAAATTGTTAGTAAAGTAGCCATTTTTTATAATTAAACAAGTCACTCTGACATTCAGAAGAGAAAATAATAATAGGTGATATGAAGCATTTGACATTTCCCCAGAGAAATAAAGAGAAATATCATTTTCTTGGCAGTCTCATGTAACCTGGGCAATGATTAATACTAATTCTGTATAGGATGACTGTGTAACCTTGGCTCCATGGCCACTGAGTCTGATTCTTGCCTCCTACAGGTGATAGCTCTATGACCCTACACCAGTACATAACCTTCAGTTATAGTATCTATTTTGTAGAAAAGGATTAAATGAGATAATCCCTAGCAGATGCTTAGGATTTAGTAAGTGATCAATAGATGTTGTATGTTATTTTTACATCATCATTATTAGTAGTATCAGCAATTAACAAAATTTTGTGGTGGAAATAGAAACCAGAGTTAGATGTTGGACTCAGCATTTGTTTTGGTTTTTCATTCTTTACATTGAATCCACTACTGGGTGCCCCGGCATGGTTATGGAGCATGAATTTTGGCATTAGACCTATATTTTGGTGTTTGCAACAAACGGCTGCTATTATAGCTCTAATGATTTACCTCTACTTTTGAATCCATGTCTTTATCTGTGGGGGAAAAAAAGAGGAGCAACACCCACATTGTAAATGTGGCGATCAGTTTATGATAAGTAAATTAAGTGATATAAAAACATATGTAATGCACCCATATCATAGAGATTTTTCAAAATTCCCTTCCTTTATATTCACAAAAATACCTAAGAGACCAACTTTGAGAATGAACTCTTTTCTTAACAAATATTGGATTGGCGGAAGACATATAAAAGAGTCACTTACCAGTTCTAGAAATTGTTCTAAGGGCATACAGCAAATAAAGAGTCATTTAATCAAGAAAATCTACTGAATCTTGGTAATAACAGGTTGTGTTGGTGGTGTGTGAGCCATATCCCATTCCTCTCAATGTAGCAAGAACTAGTTTCAAGAAAAAAAGGTTGAAAAAAGTTTGGCCATAGAAAATTTGAATTTCCATATTCAAAAGTAAATCCTGGGAGGAAGTCAGGAGTTTCCACTGAATGCTCCTTTATTTCCTTTCTGACTCAATTCTCTCTTCTTCCCCATTCTCTCTATCTAATCAAGGTTTCCCAGAAAAACAGAACCAATTAAAGATATGTGCATACATCTCCAATCTTATGGGAAGTGCTGCAGGAACTCAATTTAAGTGCTTTGATTTTTTGAAATGAGAGTCATTTACAGAATATTGTGACTGCTGAGTGAATCTATCAAATGCCTTTAGGATCAAAAGATGATCCTATAGTCACTAAACAACCCTTTATATACCAAAAGATGTTGCCCAAAGGTTTTGAGGCAATTTAGTATTTCAGGTTACTATTCTATGAAAGAAAGCAGGATTGTGTGGTGGACAGGGCCCTGACATTTCCTCTGAACCAGCTCTGTCACTCTAGAATGCAACTGGATAAACCACAAAGAGCCTTGGCCTCATTTGTAAAAGGGACAGAACCTCATCCTTCCTTTTTATCCTTTTGGTCTGGGAGAATGGAATGGCTCTCCTTTGCTGTTCATAAGCTTCTTGGAGTATGGTTGATAGGAGGAGGCCTTGCTACCAAAGCTTATTCATGTGCAAATGCTTTGTAAATATAGCACACATACAGGGTTGTCATCTTGCTTTGAAAGGAATTTTATTAATTTTTCTTTGTTGTAGTGCCTTTTTAAAAAAATGTCTGTCATTCCATTTAAAATGAATAAGCTGAACTTTTATCAAGAAAATAATTAGAATTGTTTTCTATAGTAGAATATTGTATTTTCAGRTCATTTTATTTTATGACTAAATAAAAACATTCAAAAGAAACAATGGTAGTATATGTTTAAAATGAGTCAGAACTTTTTCATATTTGTTAGGACAATAATTTTATGTACTAATTCTGACTGTTTAATCATGCCTTTTTTCTATTAATCTAAAAAGTGGAAATTTGAATTCCTATTTCACATGAACAAAAATATATAGCTTTTGAATAAATAAGTTGACTGAACTCTTCAATTCTCCCAGAAAGTAAGGCAACGAGACAGATGAGTCTTGAACCATATCCAAAACTCAAATACAAATCGAACAAATATATTCCAGTCTTCAGATTATTTTATTGGGAAGCCAAACTATCATATTGTATTACAAGATGGATTTCAGTGGAATGTTGTTAAGGTTGGCTACACTCCCAMTGTGTGTGTTTATTTCAGTTTCTCATTTTATTTTTAATTAGCATACATGGCTTTCTTTAATTGTGGAGAAATATCACAAGACTGACTATGATTGTTTTTATTTTCCCACAGAATTACTTAGCATCTGTGTCAGCTCACAAGCAAAGAATGTAGAAAATTTGGATTTATCTAATAAATGGTCATTCCTTTATATCTAAATTTAAAGAGTAAGAAGGCTACGAGTTACAAAATCAACTGTATTACACTCTGAAATCTTAATTATTTGGTAAATTATGGGTAGCTTCAGATTTTTCTTTAAATTTTTTTTAGTATTTCTTTGATCTCCRTAGATGAAAATAACATCTTGATTTTTGACTTTTGACATAGAAAAAGAACAGGTTTCAGAAATGCTGTTTACCAATTGCTTTAATGTCATTGTTTATTTCTAACATCAAAAAAGGTGATAGAAATGACTAAAAGTAAAATATGCATCACATTGCATCTATTGTGTTAGGTAACTTACCCTTGTCAGTTAATTTAGTTGACATTCCAGATAAAGGAAATCAGGGTGAGTAAGGCATAATACTTGATACCCTGTGGAGTAATGTCAGAGCAACATGCATCTAACCACACAAACCATTTTAAAGGGATATTTTTCAAGGAAGTTGGTGATTTTTCCTGTGGATGGAAAGATGAAGATGTTTTTATTTTTTAAATAGGACATATACATGCTACTGAAAATGTTACCCAACACTATTCTTTTTATGTTTCAGACTAGAAATCTAATCCCCCTCCCCAAGAGCTGAAAACAACTAGACAGCTCAACTGTAATTAATCCTCTTTTCTTTTCTTTCTTTCTTCTATTTTCTAGTGGTAGTTGGGGGATGGTATGCATGTATTGAAGTCAGGGCTTCTTGCCTGCTAGAGATATGCTTTAGCACTGGCTACATCCCCAGTCTCTGTAACTAATCTTCTGATCACACCATAAGACTATAGTGAATTTGTTGACTAGAGAAGCAATTAGCACAATCATACAGAAGTAATAAATTACTGTTCTCTGTTTTAGCATTTTGTGATGAATGTTTTGACTGTATAGTTTACAAATATACTTAATGTACCACATAGGATCCTTGTTTTAACTCTTAAGGAGAATACATTAGGTTTCCTTCCCTTTCCCACTTCACTTAAATATTAGCAAAGGCAGTTGAAAATAATCAGTAATCAGAGGCAAGAAATAGTA